CCTCTAGTTTGCCATTAATACAGAAATGACATTATAATATGGCAAAATCTCAACTAACCAGAACAGCTGGGGAATGAGTCACTGAATAATCATGCCTCTCAGATAGCTACAGGCTTATTTACAGCTTTGAACACACAAACTTTTCTGGTTAACTGTCCTGGATAGACTGCTTTGGCTTACGCAAACATTTTAAATATCAGTGATTATACAGTCAGACGGTATCCTAAGACCCACAAGGCTCACTCTCCCATCCAAATGAGATCCCAGATTGTAGTGCCCTTTGTTTTTATACTTTCCCTGTCTTCCACCCTGTTATCACATTCTACTTCCATCTCTCTTTCATCCAATCACCAAGGAAGCCCAAAGTACATCTAAAGGAAAGGTACCTGGTTCTCAGAGCTCTCCTGGGCACCTACAGAGCTCTTCCAAGGGAGGCAAAACCAGTCCTAATACATACAGTGTTTTGTAAACTCTATTTCACCCACTGTGGAAATCATTCTTAAAATGTATTTCATCAAAAAAATTCTGAGACATGCTACAGTATGGATGACCTTTGAGGACATTAATAAGTCAGTCACAAGACAACAAATACTGTGATCCCACTTATTTGAGGTAGCTAGAGCAGTCAAATTCACAGAAAAGAAAGTAGAATTGTTACCAGAATTGCCAGTCACGGTTCCCTTCACCAGTAAGAAGAGCGTGTTGAAGAGAAGAAAGTAGTTTCATTTATTTGTCGACAAATGAGGAGGGTAGCGGACTACAGGCTGAAAGACTACCATCCTGCTTACTAGCAGTATAGGGGTATTTGACCAGAGTTACAAGGACATGAAAGAGGGGAGTGGGTTAAGGTCAACACATCCACTCTTGTAACATAAGTGTCTGATGACTTGGTTGATGGACATCAGTTTGTTTTTGTCACCATCTGATGGTCAGCAATTCTGATGTCTTTACAAGTTTAGACTTTGTTTTGAAGTTTCTTTGCAGAATGCCCTTTGTCCTCAGAATGCAAGGAAAAAGCAAGATGTTAGCTAAACATATAAATCAAGATTTGCTAAACTTAGAGGGGAAAAAAGAGTGTCATTCTCCAACACAAGAGAGATATTGCTCTATCAGAATAGTGGCTGTCAGGGGTTTGGGAACAGGGGACTAGGGAGTGTCAATGGGTACAGATTTTAGGGAAGATGAAAATGTTCTGGAAATGGATCAAGGTTATGGTTGCACAACATTGTGAAAATACTTAATGCCACTGAATTGTACACTTTAAAGTGGTAAATGTTCATTATGTATATCTTATGACTAAATAAAACAATTTTTTTTAAATCATGAAAATTTACTTATTTACTATGTTCTATAGAGGTGATATGTTCAATCTGTGGGATTACCGTCTAATCACTCCAAGAAAGTTATTTTATAACGACATGATTAAAAGCGCCAAGTGTACTTTAACATTTTTATTCCTAATTACTGTATACTTTTTTTGACATAAAGAAAGCATGTTTTATAGGAACTGATCTATTTAAAAGAAAGAAACAAAACACTAGCAAAAACTCAAGGACAAGAAAAACTGATCTCGGTAGTGAATCAACGTGGGGAAAAAAGTGAAAAACCAACGGCAACTCACAGGTGGCATTAACGACTGAGCAAATATTGCATAGTAGCCACCCACCACAAATACTTTTAAAAAGACTATTTGGGGTATAAATATAACAATTTGGAATTCAAATCACAGTGCTTGTTGGTTAACACTCAAAACTGAATTTCAGTAAGAAAAATTCTTGAGGAACTTTAGTAATTGCTAACATGCTCTGCCAATCTCATGTTGTCCTTCCAAACCCAAGAATGTGCTGCTGCACCTGAGATTGCTGGCAAAGCACCTGCCAATTCCCATCCAAGACCTCTCCACATGTCATCTCAGACCAGAACCAACAAAACAAGTACTCCCAAGTGCTCTATCTACCCCAAATCAGTTTAGTAATAAACCTTCCCTAGATTAAGCAAAAATACCAAAAAAGAACCAATGCATGCAGCACTGTACACCATGGCATAAATATCACCTTATGAAGTGCTTGCTTCTGAAGTTACTATCAAACCACAAAGTTCAACAGGGACTTAACATATCATTTTGCACAACATCTAGACTACATCTTTTGTGGTATAATGATGAAGTATTGAATGAAGTATTTGTGGTATAATGATGAAGTATTGGATGAAGTATTTGATTCAGCTGAGTGATCATCTAAAGACAAAAAGCTGAATAAGGAAGGTTATAAACATACTCTTGAATGAAAGATATAGAAAATAATTATACAATACAAATTTTCAGGTGCCTGATTAGTAAAACTTGTTAAAACTTCTGCACTGAGTCTTAAATTTTATATTAATAACTTGTCTTTGCTCTCATCTTCTCTCCCACTTTTATAAAGTTTAAAAATGAACTTGTAGCAACCTGACCACATCCTTTCTATTTTAAGTCATTTTCCAGTGGGGCTAGTACCACTTGAAGAAGCATAGAGTCATATCAAAATCCCACTCCCTGAAGTCTAATGGTTTAAAATCTCCCAGGTAACCAAAATCCCTGGAGACTTCAGTCCAATTTAACAACTAAGTATAAGGAGAAATATTTTTCAATTACTAAACATCCCATTTAGATAACAAAAGCTATTTACTTAAAAAGAAATACACTGTCATAACAAAACTATACCACTTACTGATTATAAATGGTTTTATTCTCACTTAAATTATTCTGAAATAGTGGTTAGCAGCCAAACCATTCCAGAAAGTAAAGTTTCAGGAAATCATAACATAGAAAATGTTTAAAATAAAAATATTTTGCATTCAAAATGAATACATAATATGAAGTCAGAATAAAAACCAATGAGGACAGTTCACCTTTTCTACTAATTCTTTTAAGGTCAAATGGTATCTGCTTCCAGGCTATCATTTAGAGCTAAGTTACTATTGTGACAGTCTAGTTACCACTGTGAAAGCGAAAGTACCCTACAGAGGCAGAAGCTATGAATAGGCAAAGCATTTAAAAAAAAAAAATCAGATATTACAATTGTCAAGAGTAAATTCCTTTTCACAAGTATTTAGTTTCTTATTTCCATCTCTTTAGTTGCATATCTTAAAAATCTTAATAAACTTTAAGTTAAATATCTGATAATGCAAAAACTAAAATCAAGAGTCATCAAAAAATGGTGGATGAATAAATGATCGCTTGCTCTCTCTTAGCTAATGATGCTATGAGTTTTGAAACAGAGTGACCAAATCCAGTTTGGCTGTTGGGCAACTGACTAACTTAATCACAGAAAAACAGAATTATTCAGCAGAATCATTTCACAAAAGAAAATCTTTGCACTTTGTAGACTATGCCCCATACATCCCTACCACAGACCTAAGATGATTCCCAACACTTTGCCACACAGATGAAAAACACAGGCCTTTGGGATGAGTAGCAAGAATTCACTTATAACCTCCTTTGGCAGCAGAAACAAGGTACACGGATGTGTTAAAAGGTATTTGGAAAGCATATGCAAATTGATGAAGTATTTGATTCAGCTGAGAATATAAAAATCCAACTTCCTAGATGTCAAATACAAAAAGGTATCTTAATATTGTTAAAACTTAAAAAAAAAAGTGACGTAATTTTTAGTTAGCTTTGTTTTTCCATTACTAGAGTTTCATTACTAGATTTGATAAACCAGGTGAATATCTTGCAGATATAAATCAAGGTAGTTGCTGTCATTGAAAAGGTGATTAAACACACTATGGAGAGCTGTGTGGAGATTCCTCAACCTGCTAAAAATGGAGCTTCCATATGATCCAGCAATTCCACTCCTCGGTATTTACCCAAAGGACACAGAATCATTAATTCAAAAGGGCACCTGCACCCCTATGTTTACAGCAGCACCATTTACAATAGCTAAGCTTTGGAAACAACCCAAATGCCCAAAAATAGACGACTGGATCAAGAAGATGTGGTACATATACACCATGGAATATTACTCAGCAATCAAAAAAGATAAACTCATGCAATTTGCAGCAACATGAATGGAGCTGAAAGGGCTCATGCTCAGCGAAATAAGCCAGAAAGAAAAAGAAAAATACCGAATGGTCTCACTCATAGCAGGAGTTTAGAAGACCTAAATAAGGGACCAGGAAAAAGACTAATTATAATGAAGTAAAAATCAAAATCAACAAGCAACTGAAAATCAAAGACACACTGTGGGGGGCAGGGGGATTAGGGTCAAAATAAGGGGGTGGGAATTGTATGGGTACTATAACCAAGATGAAAATGCATACATGTACAAAAATGAAAAATGATGTAAAAAATATATAAAATTTTACAAAAAGGTGGTTAAACAAAACAAAGGGTCAGGCAGACCCAAACCAGTAACAAATCCTAGAAGTCTGACTTCAGAATTGAGGGGACCAGAGCAGGAGGAACGGGTAGAGAGCAGCATCCAAAGGGGATCCAAAGTACTCTGGTGGAGGGCTATAGGTACCTTGGTGGTAAATGGGTACCATAACATATGAAACAGTATGACCCTATTCCTCTGAGTCATATACAGTGCTGTAAACCAATATCACCTCAATAAAAATTAATTATTGTTAGTTTTATACTCACATTCAAGTCACTGAACTCTAAAAAAAAAAAAATCCATTTTCATTCAAATTTCTCAGCAAATTCTAAGCTTTTAGAAACTGATTTACCCCAAATAAAAATAAGTAAATAAAAGGGGGCAGGGAGAGAAGACATTGATTTATCTGGCCTGTAACTGCAAGGATTTCCTAGACCCACAGATACAATGACCTTCGGACTAAGAAATCTCCCAGTTCAAAATTTTTAATTATTTTAGATAGTAAAAACCAAACGCATTTAGGGTCATGGTGAAAATGACCATAACTCTCAAGTTTACACACCTGTTGTCAATCAGCTTAATTATTAATACCGCCTCATTTCAACCTCAAAACTAGTCTTGTTTTGAAGTAAAACTCACCAGTGGTGACAGAAGTCAATAGTGGTTGCCTTGGGGAGGGAGAAGTTGTTTACTGACTGTAAAAGGAGACCTTTGGGATGCTGAAAATGTTCTCTACCTTGATCTGAGTGTGGTAATCAGGGCTTATACAAATGTAAAATGTCGTTGAACTGTACGTATTCTTAAGATCTTACTGGACGTTAGAGATAAAAAAAAAAATTGAAACACATTTTGAATGTATTTGTTCAGATAATAAATTGCATAATATCATCCTAAATGTAACTACCTAGATGTTTTTCCCAAATGTATTGTAATAAAGGTGCATATTGTGAGCACTTTTATGTAGAACCTTTCAAACTACAGATCAAGACTTTTTAAAACCTTCCGTTTTAGATGGTTGCCGAATTTCAGAACTGAAAGTACCCAGAGAGATGGCCTGTTCATCCTTCAATTTTGCAAATAGTGAAAATCAAATCTATATGAGGAAAAAAAAAGTACCCAAGGCAGTCAGTCAATGACAACAGCAGTAGCACAACTATTTCCTGATCTTTAGGCCACTCCCGTTCCCACTAGGCCGTTACTTTTCTGACAATGTAAACAAATCTGAACTCTGAATCTACCTGTGGCTACGATTCAACAGATCCCTCAGTACACCAGGTCAACAGGCCCCAAAGTGCATACAGGAAGGCACACTCTTCTTCCTTCACCCAGTTGGCAAACGCACAATTTATTTTCAGACATTTTACTTCCAATGCAATAAGGAAACATGACATCTCATGTTTGAGGGGGCATCTCAAAAATGCGGTGCAAGAGAAAAAGGCAAATGCAGAGATTGACAAAATCCTTCTTTCCTTTCAAATCTCTTGGATGCTTACTTGGTCCTCAAAACTATCACCGCTAAGCAGGAGTCAGGAAACCTCGCTGGCCAGGCTTTGAGTTCCCCGCTGAATAACCCCCCACTAAATAAGAACGCTGTCTCCTGACAGGGGTGTGCTACCCCACTCCCAGTACCAAGACCTGCAGGTGACCTGCGCTTTAATGCAAAGCTTAGTTTTAGACCCCAGCGAGCAGCTGACATTTTGTGAAAACTTAACATGCATCCTTTCCGCGGGAATTTATTTCTGTTCTCACAAGGCGTCTCTGCCCCCCCACAGAGCAGGCCTTGCTTCTCAGGACACTCGCTCGCCTCTCCGCAGCCTCCTCGGTGTCCAAAACGACACTTCAAGACCAGAAATCGAAACGGTCACCGACCTCCACAGGACCAGGTCGGGGTCCCTAACCGGTCGGCGATGGGGTGGGACGGCGGGTTCCCGGCGAGCCCATCGCCCGCTGGCGCGCGGCACCGCGGAGGCCCGGCACCCTCCACCTCGCCGGCCCGAAGCAACCGGTTGTGCGGCCGCGAGACGCTTCCTCGACCGCGCAGCGGCCACCTCGGCCCTCGGAAGTTCGGACAGCCGCGCGGGCGGCGCGCCCCGGGCCCCCACTGCGGGTTCGCGCCCCGGCCCCGGAGCGAGCCCGGGGGGCGGGTCCGCGGGGGCTCGGCGGGCGGGAGCGCAGGACCCGCGGGGAGGGGCGCGCGGCGGGACGAGCGCTCCGGGGAACTTGGGCGCCCGCCCGTGCCGGCGCCGGGCCACTTTCCTTTCACGCCTGCCCCGGCCGCCGCGCGCCGCGCTGCCCACCCGGGGCCGCCCGCCGCCGCCGCCGCGGCCGCCCGCTGCAGAGCGGCGAGGCGCCCAGGCGCGCTCCTGAAGCCCGGCCGGCCGGCGCGCAGGGCCGCGGAGGCGCGCGAGGCCGCGCGCGGGCGCCGCGCTCCCCCCGCTCGGCCCCCGCCCCCAACGTGCCGCCGCCGCCCGTTGGCGCCTCAGCCCGCGCGCCCGCCGCCCGCCGCCGGCCGCCCGCCGGGGCTTTTCCGTTGGCAAAGTTGTGCGGCCCCCCCGAGGGGGCACCGCGCCGTCCCCCGCCCCGCGGCGCCGCCGCCCCTTCAGGCCGCCGCGCGGGAAGGCCCAGCCGGCGGCCCCGCTTTTTTACCTGCCGGGAGTTTTCGCGCGCGCGCTCGCTCGCTAGCTCGCTTTTTCCCCTCTCGCGCTCGTTCTCTTTCTTTCTTTCCGTCTTTGCGCTCTCCCGCGCGGGCGCGTTTTCCGCTCGCGCCGCCCGCGCTCGCCCGCTCGCGCCCTCCTTCCTGCTGGGCTCGGCGGAGCGGGGCGGCCGGCAGCTCTCCCCGCCCCCCTCCACCCGCGCTCCGCGGAGGCGGCGGCGGCGCTCCGCGCTCCGACTCATTCCAATATGGCACGGGCGGAGAGCGCATGCGCCCGCGCCCCCCCCACCCGCGCTCCTCCCGGCAGCCCGCGCCCCTCGCGCCGCGCGCGTGGCGCCCCCGGGCCGGGCCTCGCGGAGCCCGTCCGCGCGTGTCCCCGCCCAGCCGCGGTGCCGGGAGAGGCGAAGCGCCCGCGGGCTGGGGTGCCGAGGACCCAGCGCCGCCGGCCTCCCCCGCCTCTGGAGCCCCCAGCCCTCAACTTGTCGCGGAGGCCGTGGTGCAGCGCACGCGGCGCCGCCACCGGCCCCCGACGACGCTGCGGCCGCGCGCCGGGGAGCCGCGCCGGGGAGACGAGCCCCGGGGACCCGGCGCCCACCGGTCCCTTCGCCGGCCACGAGGACGGGGCCCCCGCGCCTCCCCTCGGGGTGTGGACCTAGCTGCGGGGAACCCCGAGGCGCCCCGGGTGGGTCCTGCAGACCGCGCTGGGGCCGAGCGCGCCGCGGTCGCCCGCACGTGACCGCCTCGGACAAGATGGCAAGAGCCGGGGAACGGACGGCGCCTCGGCGGGGTGCTCCATGCGCGCGCGTCGCCGCCGGAGAGGGCTGCGTGCGCCCGCCCGCCCGGCCCGCGTCGAGCAGCGGGCGCTCCCTTTGGAGACCGGGAGGAGCCCTCAAGTGCTCCCCGTCTGCGAAATTACCGCCGGGCCCCCCGCGCATCCCGTTTCGCCAGGCTTCCGCAGGAGGCGCCCTGTAAATCCGAGTTTTCCTGCCGCTCGGGGCCCGGCGAGGGGGCGCAAGGCGGCTGCGGCGTCCGGGTAGAGAAGCTAAGGGTCCCACGTCGGGACAGAAGCCCGAAGGTGGCAGCAATCTGGCCTCGTAAGTCGAGGTGTCATGGGCGGTGACGCTCCCGGTGCTTGCTCCTTACCTGCGAGCGCAGGTGCTGGTGGAGCACCCTCTCCCCACCTGCTCCGAAAAGTTCCCTCCGAAGGGGAGTCCCCGCACCTCCAAGACTCAGGAGAGCCCGGACTCCCGGCTCAGGGGAGGCGGTCTCGGACCCGAGTACTGATGGCTCTTGAATTAGAGGAAGAAAGAGGCGCCCCCCAGCACAAGGAGGAGGTTTGGGGTGTCAGACGCGGGGCTCAAGCTACTTCCTACTGACCTCGCCACTGCGCAGCAAAATATGACTGCGCTTTACGGACAGAACTGCTCAAAGTCGCACTGCTAGCTGGATTTGAACCGAGATTTTTTTTAAGCCACTATTTAAAAAAAAAAAAAATGACAGAGGGGAAAAAATACATGACAGATAAAATAGCCATACTCCTACTATAGAATGCAACTTTTCTCACAGAAAGCCTTTCATCTATGTACATGTCTTAACATAGTTGCAGCCATACTATCTTTTTTTGTGTTTGCTACGATCACTAACATTTTTCATTTGTTCACATGATTCATTTGTGAGGGGTGCAGGTCTCCTAACGTGGGGTATTTGGGTTCTTTACAAGTTGTTTGCTGATATCTCCTGGGCATCGAATAACGAAGTGGAAGGCTAGCCCTAGCAGAGTGATCTTGATTCATATTGTCCTATGACTTTCCCAAAGAGCTTTCCCACTAGCTCTACAGTCTCCCAGGAACGAGTGTAAGGAGTATAATGTACTTTTCTAAGCATTGGGTACCCTCTTTTCCGTCACCCTGCTTTGTTAGTGTCTATGGGTAGTTCAAGTTTACTTTAGCATTCTTAGATGACTTAAAATGAATGTCTTTCCACCCATTTTTTTGTCCCTGTTCCCTTTACTGTAAATGATTTGTTCATATCCATTCATTTGTTGGGGACTTGCACCTCTTCTAACTTTAAGTAAGCATATTTTATTTTGAAGCTGTTATTCCTGTGTCATCATTGATGCAAATATATCCTAGTTTTGTTATGTTTTGCATTGACGTTCAATCCTTTTCTAATCTTCGTGATATTTTTGATTTAATGCCAGCAGAGTGAGCTTTGTACCACCCTTCTGATAGTTTATTTTCTGCTAATTTTCTACAATTCCATTTTCTATTTAGTTCTTTGGTGATAATCCATCCCCCGCTTTTTAAAAAGATTTATTTATACATACGAGAACTGGGGTTTAGGCCAGAGGTACAGAGGGTGGGAGGATTTACCAGAGACAGAGTGGGGAGCAGAACAGGTGGATCTACTGAAATACACTGCCGGGGGGAGCAGCAGGTGAGACAGGAAAGGTCTGCTGTGCCATGTGGGTTAGCTCCCTGGCTGGGGATCAAACTTATGCCACAGTGGCTAGCAATAGTTTGATAGCACTGAGAATTTAACCCCTGCACCATCAAGGAGGCTCCATCATCCCCCCCCGCCCCCATTTTTTAATGCTATGTGAAGTGAAATATGGATTTAACTCACCGCTACAGCTTACGCAGTCACCACTCATGAAATAATTCTTTACTCTGTTTAGCAAATCTACTTTTATGCAAGGTTTTGATTTGGGTTGGTCTATTTCTGAAATCTCCATTCCCATTCATTGACCTCGGTTTGAGCAAATACCATATGGATCTAAATATTGATTCTTTAAAATAGGTTCCTACATCTGACAGGGCTAGATTCCCAACTCTGTCTCTACTTCCTACTGGTTCTGTGAGGTGGGGGTTATAATTCCCTGTACTCACTGCCTAAAGGGTCAGTGTTTGACTATCCCACATAAACCCCCACCCCCTGGCACTTTGCCTGCTCCTTTCAGGCAGGCCAGCTCTCTTGTCAGTGGGCGTCAACTCAGGGCCTTCTTGTGAATAAGAGTGTGAGTTCGAGGCCTCCACTCTGAAGTCAGTAGCATCCTGGACCAGGGCATGGAGCTATTTTCAACCCAAAAAGAACCCAAGTTCCATAGCCTACCAGTCAGTGGCCTCGTTAACTACCAACCAGTCAACTTCCATCAGCTCAAGTGTAAAAAGCAAAAACAAAACCTGCCAGGGGGAATATAAAAATAAAATTTAATATTTAAAAAAAAAAAAAAAAACAAAACCTGCCCAAGTAAGGCAAGCCACATCATGATTCTGCTAGGTGCTAACGCCATGTGACTCTCCACTGAGACCTAGTGGACTAGGCTGGTCCTGCTGCCTTGGTGGCACAGGCCGTTGCCACATGTCCCCTCAACATTTGCCCCTCTCCATCTTGGCACCTGCAAGTCCCCCCACTAAACTTCCCTCTCTG